TTAATAATATTTAATATTTAATATAAAAAATTACATACAGTTATGAACACTCTTTGATATATAGGGTTTTCTAATTTGATTTAGACACCAAAATATCTCGAAAACAATAAATTGGTTATAAGTTTGACCTTCAATGGCCAGAACGTGTTTTAAAATAAGAACATTAGCGCTATTTGTATTTGTTCGGAAAGCTTCGGAAGAGCGAAAAATTATCAGAATCAAAATTTTCTTATTTTTTCCAATAGAATATGAATCTGCATAAAACAGCGTTTTTATCCACGTGGACCTTTTTTCATTGTCAGTTGGACTGAAAGTGGTCCCAGACCCAAAATTTATTAAGTACTCATTTAATAATTTTCTTCAAATCTTACTTTTATTTAAAAATCTTTTTTTGTAAATGTTTTCGAAATATTTTGATGTTTATATAAGTTAGAATATTCTGTATATTCTTTATTAAGAAACATTCTGCATATTCTTGTTTAAAAAAATGATTTAATACAATTTTAATACAATTTTGTGTAACAGATCTCCTATGAATACTTGATTTTTAAAATAAATGTCATATACTATTTCTTTTGCTACAAAGATACATTAATATAAATAAAAAATAAAAATGTTTGATCATTAAAATAAAATTAATTCTAACTATATACGCTGGAATTCCAGAAATCCCAACGCAATTTGTTAAACAGAAATTTTTTCGCGTTTTTGAATTTTTCTTTTTCTTTGAATTTATATATTTTGAAGCTCTTTAATTCTATCGACTTTTACATATTATGACTATATAACTTAATCAATTCTCCATCGATTGAAAAAAAGATTAATTAAAATATGTCCATTTTTACAGGAGTTATGAACAAATATGGTTGGGCTCCCAGAGCTCCAAATGTGTATATAAAAGAAAAAAGAGTGTGTATAGCTAGAGTTAAAACAATTTAAAAAATATCAATTTAAAACAATGGATAAAATACTTAAGGAATAGCCACTATAATTTTTATGTTCAAAAGTTTATTAATATTCGTCCGATTATTTAAACGTTCTTGAACTTTGTAAAGAATTACAGTTAACATTCTTGTAAATCGCGCAAAAAATAAGCTGTAATATTTCTCACAATAAACGATAATGCTCAAGAATAAGCGATAATACTGCTAAGTGGAAAACTTCCACCTTGCAGTGTCTATATGCTTTCAATAATAATACTTTCCACGTCGTGATTAAAGTATAAAGCCACTTCGTGATTTTCTCATATTCAACGGGCAAATCCGGAAAAACGCGCGATCACGAGCAAGAGCGGAGATCGCAAGTCTCTTATTTGATATTATCTACACTATTATGTATCACGGCTAAATATTATTATATATTGTTTGTATAATTTCGATATATGTATAGCGTGGGACTGTTGCGAGCTCAGTTGCGAATACTCTCTTGGTGAGTGTTGTTGTGATGAAATTCTCAAATGTTTTAATAAATATCAATAATCTTTATGAAGGCAATAAAATTTATGGATTAAAGATTTAATGTGACATGTTTAATATGTCACTGTATTTAATTCGATGTATTCCAGAATTCTTAATTAGATTTTTAATAAATTTTAAGCTTATATATATATTAACTT